CTGACCACATGAGAAGGATGTGCCACGCCCAGAATTCAGCAACGCGCCTGCAGGTAGTTCAAATATTTCTCAACCATGACACATTCATTTAACCCTAAAAACTCTGAATTTCACTTCAGATTTTCCATGTTGGTAACTTTGAACATTAAAGTGCACCAACAACACTTCATTAAAGCTATGTGATTACATTGTTTTTCTTTTCCTGGTTTTAATCTAGAACATTTTTATTTGATCAAAATGTATTTTATTTTAGAAACTTTGCAGCCTTTAATAAGAATTTAAAATGACACTCTGTGGGTTTAAACCCCATAACACACAGAGTAAAATAGTTGAGTAAAATATGTATGTTTTTAGATTAACAAAATCACATATGCTACAGGAGAGGAAGCTTTTTGTGACATTATATTGTTTATAATGGGAAAATGTGCTTATGATTTAATAGGTAATACATTATCTGTTCTTAATTACTCAGAGTTTAAAAGACTTTATCCAGAAAACAGCTGATGTTAAATGAGTGATGGTTTTACTACTTTTGAATTAGAGTATTTTTACTAATGAGAAAATAAACTGTGATTAAGTGTCACTTAAATAACGAAACTCAAAGGCTGCCTGTCAGGTGCTGACTTACATGTCATTTCATAACAGCAGGACAAATTGCTGATGTCACAGTGATGAACCAGTTCAAATGTCACTGCCTCGGCCTGTCAGTGATTCCATTATTACATACCACATCCTGTCATTTCCATGATCGTCACTTTACATTCCAGCCTTTGATGGGAGAAAGCCACATTAGTCAAACACAGGATAGTGCTCGAGCACAGCACGCTGAAAAGGTGCAATACAGAGGTGAGCAAACACCGGGCATTACTGTAAAAACACGGCATTACCTAATACAAACATAACTTTAAGCTATCACATGTAGCGCTATCTGCAAATATTGTGTAAGCCTTATCTCTACTACTCCGTATCAGACTTATCTTTCCCCATACCAGAGGAACATTATCCATATATTTCTATCACATTCCAGGTAAAAGGGAATTGGCCTGCAGCCAAGTTAAGGTCCATTGAAAATCTGTGTTTAAAGAATCAAATAGTTTCTGCCAGGCAGCTCTAATCCACGTCTTTGGTGATGATTTACAAGTTCTAAACAATACTTGTATCACTATTTAATAGCTAAATATGATACATTTGGTGGAGTTATGCGAAGAACGTAGATCCATGATCAATTAATGTAAGCTGCTGCTGGAGGGGTTTGGTTTTATAGGCATTTAAATTTTTAATTTTGTTTACTTTGGGTTGCCATTGGACTTTCATGATAACTTTTCAAAGATGACTACAGTCACTGTCCTCCACCCATGAGGCCGTTCATGCCAACCAGGTGAGCATTTCATAGTCAAGAGGTAGATTTTCAGTGGAATCCATCCATCCATTTTCATCCACCTATCCTGGGCCAGGTCGCGGGGGCAGCAGGCTAAGCAAAGCACCCCAGACGTCCCTCTCCCCAGCAACACTTTCCAGCTCCTCCTGGGGGACCCTGAGGTATTCCCAGGCCAGATGAGATATGTAATCCCTCCAGCGTGTTCTGGGTCTGCCCCGGGGCCTCCTACCAGTGGGACATACCCGAACAGTTGCCCAAACCACCTCAACTGACCCCTTTCAACGCGAAGGAGCAGCAGCTCTACTCCGAGCTCCCTCTGGATGTCTGAGCGCCTCACCCTATCTCTAAGGCTGAGCCCAGACACCCTTCTGAAGTAACTCATTGTATCCCCGACCTCATTCTTTCAGTCTCTACCCAGTGCTCATGACCACAGGTAAGGGCTGGGACGTAGATGGACCCATATGACCTCAGCTCAGTGTGTTTTACAAAACTGCCAACTCAAACAGCACTCTACATACATGTTGTTGCACTGTCAGCAGTCTTGTTCATCTCATGTATTCATTCATGTGGCAGACTTAATTTCAAACCACCTCTGTCTCTTAGAAATTACATTTATGTGCAACTAATTTGAAATAGCAAATATGTTTTGAGGGGAAAGTAATGCAGAGCAAAATGTTGCTAAGTATGTATCTGGCAAGTTGCAAAAATGTTGACACTGAAGTATTGACAAAATGTTCACAGACAGCGTCTTTGAGTTGTATTTCACACACACAAAATGGGCAATCTTGAAATATAGTATCCACTCATAGTTGCTACAACATTTTATTTATTTGATTTTTATTGGAGTCTTTGAACAGAAAATCCTGTACACTCAACACTCAGAGTTGGATATGCAAATACCTCTCTTCAAACAGTTGGATTTTTTATTCAAATTTCCCAACATCACGATCTTTCCCTCACCTTAACCACAGTGCATTTGTTGCCCAAACCTAAGACAGGAGTTTGAGTGCAAACTTGAAGTTCTGCTGTCAGGGTCCTGCACTTCGCACACCCTCCATCCTCCCCAGACACCTTCCTGTGAAGCCTACACACTACATGAATGTATAGTTTCACTACTCTGAATATAATCCAGGCAGTGATTACGTTGCCACAATGACATAATTAAGAAGCAGTTTAGTAACGTACAAAGGTGATTTCAAGGAGACAACATTGTTCCACGCAGATAAAAAAAAAAGTGTTGTGAAATTGTGTGATTAGAAAAGCATTACTACATCATCCATATCAACATGCGTCGTTTCATTCTGAGCTTTCTTTGTTTGAAATTGCTCCATGATCCAGTTTCACTACAGTATAAACGACACTGGACAGCAGCCAAAAAAAAAGCTGCAGAGCAAACTCATCTGTCAGTCACCCTCCCTGCCCTCACCTTCCCTTTCTGTATCCGTGTAGGTTCAAATGTACAATGCCAGCTCTGACCAGCACAGTAAACACTACCAGTACATTTCCATACTTGAGCAGCAGGTTATTTGTGAAAAGGTGCGCCGGCTGGCAGCCAGAGAAAAAGACCCAAGCCAGCACGTAAACCCTGCACGTAGATGGTTGGTTTAGATTTACACCTGCCTCTGCAACTAAAGCTGTTTTTCCACCTGTGTCACACAGATTTAATCTTTAGTTCCCTGTACACAAACTGCAGAGCTCTGTAATAGTTTCTAAAGGATTCATTTATATAGGAGCTTTATGTGTGCAATAAAATATGAACTCTTAATGGATCCAAGGTGGGACGTTGTCTCATACTCCGCCTTTAGGACAGATGTAAGACATATGTAAGAAACGTGAGGTTTCAGAAGTTGCAAACAACAAAAGAGTTGACAGTTTTCCCCTGAAGAAGAAAAGCTGTGTCCTAAATTCACAAGAGAAAATATGATAAACTGACATGATCCAGTTTTGATAGGAAAACCAGATCTGGGTTAGCCAGGGTTCACGCTGTGAGGGCAACCTCAACTCCCTCTTTCTCTCACCGTCTTAATTTCTTAATCTCTTCACTGTCCATTTACAGATCAAATAAAATGCCATCAAAATGTATTTACTCTTAACAGTCTGGACATTGCTTTTTGTGACCTGCAGTGCTGGAAATTTTGTGCATATTATTTAAAAAAAAAAAAAAAAAGATTGTACTACAACAGTATAATTTCAAATATTGTTACACCGCCATGACTTTCAGTGCCAAGAAAAAACTTGTGGAAGCTACTTTTCTGTCTGTGATTGATTACAGTGACATTTTGTATATGCATGCAACCTCCTCCATTTTACGTAGCCTTGATTCAGTGTACCATGCATCTCTATGTTTTATTACAAATGCAAAGTCCCACACTCATCACTGCCTTCTTTATGATTTGGTGGGTTGGATGTCATTGACCGCTCGCAGACAACAGCACTCGTATATTTTTATCTGTAAAGCAATACTGGGCAAACATCCAGCCTACCTCTGCTCTCTTCTGTGTGTCAGTTCTGATAGTTACCAGCTACGCTCCTCCAGGTGGTTGCTTTTTAATGAACCCTTAACAGATCTGGGGAAACTGCATTCTCCTACTCTGCACCTTGGACATGGAATAATCTTCATCCATTGATGTATTTAAGAGCATCATAAAGAATGGGGTTTTTTTCTTGAGAGTGCAATATCTTTGATAAGTTGTTGTTTTATTGTGGATATTGTATTATATATTGCATTTTAAATGTGTTCTGTTTGGCTGCTGCATCAGCCAGGTCTCTCTTGTAACAGAGATGTTAGTCTCAACGGGACTTCCTGGTTAAATAAAGTTGAAATAAATAAATAAAATGAAGGTGACATTTTTGCTGCAAAGTAACACATACTTTATGGAAAATCTCGATTACTCTCTGTTAAAAGAAAACTAGTAATTGTCATTCCAGTAAATGTATTGCATCACAGAGCTCTCATATACTTATAAAGCACTTCCAACCTACAGCTAATAAAACAAGTGACTTAATGCTATTTGACTTTTTCACGTGATATTTTGCTTTTTGTTGCTAAATCCTATTATGGTTTCTGTTTTCCGGTTGCTATGGCAACCTGTGTTTTTTTTTTTTTTTGCCAGAAACAATTTGCCCTATGGGATCAACTGTCAGTATGAACTTAACTGGTTACCAAGTTTGCTCACTTGTAATGCCGTGCCAACAATCATTAATAAGAGGAGCCGTAACCTCCTCGTTAATCCGTTTCATCGGCCTGTCCTTTCAACCCAAACCTATCAGCTCCTCTAATCTTCACAGCTGGTTTAGTGGGCACTCTGTCGGCCTCACTGATCAAACGGTGATGCCCGCCGACCGACATAACAAGACAAGGTAGATTCCTATCTGAAACAGCTCAGTGGAGCAATGATGGGGAGTCAGACAGAGAGTCAAGGAAACAAGATCGTAATCTAAATGGTGCTGACCCGAGGGAGTTGGGATGATAGGGGCGAAAGAGGCAAATAAGATAGAGAGGAAAAAGATCAATAACTCAGGTGGCTGAGCAAATGGAGAGACTAAAAGGGTTTTGAATGGGAAAGAGTAGAAACAGGGACCCCCCACAAAATAAAAGCAGAATGACAATGATCAGACTCACAAACTCAGGGATGAAGAACACATCAGGAATGGAGGTAAAGATCCTGCCGCCTGTGGGCAGAACATCACCCGAGGTGGTGGAAGCCATAGTCCAAACACTGTGTGTGTGTGTGTGTGTGTGTGTGTGTGTGATTTCCTCTAGAATGAGATGTGCAACCTGTTTTAATCTGCTTTTTAAAGGCCGTCTGTCTCTCTAACCCCTCTCCCTCCCTCCCGCACCTCCCTCTGCCTCTCCTCCACTCCACCTACCCATCCATTCCTCTGGTCGTAACTACCTGTTTGACAGGTGCTTTTTTGCTTTGTTTGTGCAGTGGGAGGATGTCTCTGGTTCTAGTGTGTGTTTGTGTGTGTGTGTGTGTGTGCGCGCTTCTGTGTGCAGTTTTTATGTGTTTCTCTCGGCCCTCATGTGTTTATAGTGTTTGTGTGTCTCTGTAAATGGCAACCACTCGTTTACATGCACACAAAAAAGTGACTGCAAGGCAACTAATGCAGGCTTCATGTGGGATATAGAAGGTGCAGGTGAACGTCATTCAACACAGACACTCAATCTGCACCAGAATATATATGTATAATTAGTTTATTCATTGTTTTTTTTCTTATGTTAATAAACTTTGTTTTAATGTAATGTGTATGGATTCTCACAATATCAGAGGATCCAGGTTATCTCTTTGCTACTTTAGTTTTATTTGATAATAGTTTTTGTGCAGCACCACACTTAAACAGCAATTGCATCAAGGCCATTGAGCTCCAAACAAACCCAAGCAAGACTCGTTGTCTCTTAAAGGTTCAGTGTGTCGTATTAAGGCGGATGTACTGGCAGAAATAGGTAAGGTAAGGTTAACTCTAATGTGCCCGAGGGGGCAATTTGAGCTACAGACAGTAGTCATGAGTACAACAAAACCGACAGTACAATACAAACACACACACAGAGTCCAGTATCACACACTGTCAGAGGTAAATCATGGACATTAGTGGTCACTGCTGAGTGATAGCAGACAAGACAAGACAAAGGATGCTCTGTAACACTTAGCGCTATATTTAGAGAAGCAAAACCTCCGCCCTGATGGAAGCATCGGAAACTCAACATGGGAGTGAGACATTTGACAGAGCATCAGACAGATGCTGCAGGTTATTTAAAAGTAACACCAGTGATCTCACAGCACAACTTGACCACTTTTTCCAACTTGTTCTTGTCTTTATGGCTCAGATTACCAAACGAACACACAATGCTAAAAGAAAGAACATCATCAATTAACAGATTCTGTACCTTAGAATGAGACGTTTATATCTAGGGAACTTTAAACATCAGTGTTTTTGATGTGATTTGGAAAGCTGCAGTGTTGTTGGGATGTTGGTGATGCTGATGCCTTTGTTTGAGATTCAGAGGATCATGGGAGCTGAGTAAATGATCTCTTAATGGATCAATGATATAACAGAGCTGGATGTGGCACAGCAAGTCAGTTTTCCTCAGCGGTTAAGAACTTCAACAAAGAATCTGCAGAGGCCCAAAAAGGATTTTAGTAAAGGATGTTATTATTCTTTGTACTATGAGTTTTTAAACTTATGACAGCTGACTATTTGTCAGACTCTTTTAAGACATGGAGTATGTCACACTGCTGTTTTCATTAGGGTGTTAAAGTGATACCATGTGCTTTTGTGACGTCCTGGCGTTCGTAGCACATCCTGAAACATCAACAGCAGATGCAGAAGGATACCTAGTGCGTAACATGTTGATGTGATAGGCCATTGACAAAAGCAGCAGTTTGTGACGGCTTGTGATGAGAGCGTGTTGAGGGTTCAGTCCGACTATTAACCCAAAGCGTTGTATTTGACAACCTGGGAATGAAACCCAACAATCAGCCATCTTTGACCAGAGTTACATACAGCACCTTTAATGTTCTATATTCAGACATGAGGGAACATTTGCAGAAAGAGCCAAGGTCTTATGATATTTAGCGCCAGGTGCGTGAGAGGGGACGGTGGCACAGAGTGGGAATATAATAGTTTTTTTTTGTTTTTTTTTATCAGTGTCATTTATTAGATAGAGACTGTGCTCTTGTTTAATATTTTAATAGTTTAATTTAAATAAGGGGGTTGAGTGGATGAGGGATGAAGGGTTGAGGGTCGAATGGATGAGGAATGTAGGGATAAGGGATGAAGGGTTGAGGGATGAAGGGTTGAAGGTTGAAAGGATGAAGGGTTGAAGGGCTGAAGGTTGAAAGGATGAAGGGTTGAGGGTGGAGTGGATGAGGAATGAAGGGATGAAGGGTTGAGGGTCGAATGGATGAAGGGTTGAGGGTGGAGTGGATGAGGAATGAAGGGATGAAGAGTTGAGGGTCGAATGGATGAAGGGTTGAGTGATGAGGGTTGAGGGTCAAGGGTCAAATGAATGAGAGATGAAGGTTGAGGTTTGAATGAATGAGGAATGAAGGGATGAAGGGTTGAGGGTCGAATGGATGAAGGGTTGAGGGTCAAGGGTCGAATGGATGAGGGATGAAGGTTGAGGGTTGAATGAAGGAGGGATGAAGGGTTGAGGGTCGAATGGATGAAGGGTTGAGGGTCAAGGGTCGAATGAATGAGAGATGAAGGTTGAGGTTTGAATGAATGAGGAATGAAGGGATGAAGGGTTGAGGGTCGAATGGATGAAGGGTTGAGGGTCAAGGGTCGAATGGATGAGGGATGAAGGTTGAGGGTTGAATGAATGAGGGATGAAGGGTTGAGGGTCGAATGGATGAAGGGTTGAGGGTCAAGGGTCGAATGAATGAGAGATGAAGGTTGAGGTTTGAATGAATGAGGAATGAAGGGATGAAGGGTTGAGGGTCGAATGGATGAAGGGTTGAGGGTCAAGGGTCGAATGGATGAGGGATGAAGGTTGAGGGTTGAATGAATGAGGGATGAAGGGTTGAGGGTCGAGTGGATGAGGGATGAAGGGTTGAATGTTGAAAAGATGAGGGATGAAGGGCTGAGGGTGGAGTGGATGAGGAATGACGGGATGAAGGGATGAGGGTCAAATGGATGAGGAATGTAGGGATAAGGGATGAAGGGTTGAGGGATGAAGGGTTGAGGGATGAAGGGTTGAAGGTTGAAAGGATGAAGGGTTGAAGGGCTGAAGGTTGAAAGGATGAAGGGTTGAGGGTGGAGTGGATGAGGAATGAAGGGATGAAGGGTTGAGGGATGAGGGTTGAGGGTCAAGGGTCAAATGAATGAGAGATGAAGGTTGAGGGTTGAATGAATGAGGAATGAAGGGTTGAGGGTTGAATGGATGAAGGGTTGAGGGATGAGGGTTGAGGGTCAAGGGTTGAATGGATGAGGGATGAAGGTTGAGGGTTGAATGAATGAGGGATGAAGGGTTGAGGGTCGAGTGGATGAGGGATGAAGGGTTGAGGGTTGAAAGGATGAAGGGATGAAGGGTTGAGGGTCGAGTGGATGAGGAATGAAGGGATGAAGGGTTGAAGGTCGAAAGGATGAAGGGTTGAGGGATGAGTGGATGAGGGATGAAGGGTTGAAGGTTGAAAGGATGAAGGGATGAAGGGTTGAGGGATGAAGGGTAGCAGGGATGAGGGTCAAGGGCCAGATGGATGAAAGGTTAGGGATGACAGGGTAAGGATCAAGGGATGTAGAGTGAGGAATGAAGGTATGAGGGTTGAGGGATGAAGGGATGAAGACTGAGGGTTGAGGGATGAAGGCTGGGTTTCTGGGTAGCTGCCGAGCACGGTGATGAACGTGTTGAGTCAAAGGCAGGAACACAGGAGGGATCCCAGGAGTGAGACTGAGTGGGGGAGTTGTCTCTTCATGAGCTCGGCTTCGGATAGAGCCCCAACTGGTTCCTGTGTGCAGAAAGGAGCAGAGAAAAAGATGTACAGTAAGAGGCAAGATGGGATTGGGTGGGTGGGATGTAAGAAATGTGTTGAAGGGGAAGAGAATGCATCGGGTGTGTTTAAATACTATTGGGCGGAAATGGGATGTGTTCGAGGCATGGTCTTTGTTCCCGAACCTAGTTATAAAACTACATTTATGTAAGAAGGTGCAGGTGTCAAAGGGGCTTTGAAGTCCGATATTCGATTTATATAATTCATCCATGTCATGCAGGATGTTGCCCTTCAGCAGCCCGAAACTGTTTCATCCAAATCTGATCTTTTTTTTCTGTTTATTTGCCCTGCGCATGAATAAAGCATGACCTAAACACTGTTACCTGTATTCTCAAAATGTCATTTAATTATCCGTCTGTCATGGCATTTTACACGAAGCTATATGTCAAGCCTTTCAACTCCTTATCAGCGAAATGGCAGCTTGAGTTTATGTTCATTTTTGAGTGTGCAGGATCGTATGGAAACCCACTGGACTGCATTCCTCTGAGTTAACTTCAAGGCTTAATGGATGGAGGGAGAGAGGGAGAGGTCGGGTTGGTTTGTTAAGTTAGTGTGTGGGAGGATGGGAGAGGACAAACAGGGACACACAGATGAAGTGGCTTTGGAGTGAAACAAGGGAGCAAGCAAAGAGAGAGCTTGGGCGTGGCTGCTTCACTGTAGTTTTCCACCTGACAGCAGAGAAGAAATGATTAAACCAGCCGCAGAACGTTACTGCTCCAGCCAGGAGACAGTCCAGAATTCCCAAAATGTCAAACTCATTTTTGCTTATTGTTTGTCAGAGACGATGTCGATCAGCTGTGAGTCACAGCATGTGAGCAGTGTGTGATGAGTCGCGTTGTGTATCGCTGCCAAACACAGCGTGACGGTTTCCAGGCTGAGGGATTAAAACTTGGCACAATATACAAAACCTATTGTGTGGGACGACTCCAAGTTTTGTTTTGCTTTTTAATCTCTGTCTAAAATCAATATCGGTCAATCTGCTGCACTGTTGCAAAATGAATAGCAGCACATTTGCAAATTTAAAAAAAAACATTTTTGTTCAAGCTGTACCCCACAAATCACAGACTGCTGAAAACAATGTAGCTACAGGCTGAAATCACACATAATCTTAAAGGTAAATCATGCCTCATTTACTTCAATATCATGTTTAACCTCTGCGTGTGTGTGTGTGTGTGTGTGTGTGTGTGTGTGTGTGTGTGTGTGTGTTTTAGTGCACTTCCTCACCAGTATAAGGGCTGATGACACACTTGGCTAACGAGCCACAGAGTTTTAATAATGTGCAGTGAGTCGTTTGTCGTTCTCTAAGAGCTGCTTTCATGTTGTCCAAATGGGGGATGCTGCTTTGTTCTGCAGGTGCTGACACACCCTGAGTCAACCT